AAAAAAAAAAGTGCTCAGTCAACTGAAGATCTGGAGAAAGATGACTCCTGACAAGAGGGAAGAGTGCAAAGCAGGAATAACCATCCCTGTTCTGAAGCAAAGAAAGAAAACCAGCTCGGCTACCGCAGGAGGAAGAAGGTAAGTGAGACATGAGCTTCAGGTCAAGCCATGATGGGTAAGGAGCTACCAGGCCGTGGTCGAGCATAGATTTTAACTGCACTTGTGGAATCTTCCTGAGTCATGAAGGGGGTTGGTGTGGTAAAAGCTGGTGCACCTGGTTACAACAGAGTGAAGGCAGACAGCAAGGGACAAATTCAGTCAAGTTGGAAGACATGGTGATAACAAAAGGCATCTACACTGACTTCACTTTTTTGCAGCAGCAGATGAGCAAGATCACTGTCATTAAATGTAGCCATGCTGGGACTCAGTGAAATGTTTATCACATGCCAGACCATCTTCAAGTTCCCTGAAGTAAGTAAACTTTAATAGGCAAGAGACAAAATTCACGGTAAATTCTAAACATTCTTTTTTTTTAAAGATTTATTTATCTATGCTTACAGAGTTGGGGTACAGGCCAGAGGTGCAGGGGCAGTGAGAGGATTCACCAGGGACACAGTGGGGAGCAGAACAGGCAGATCGGCCAGGTACACTGCTGAGGGGAGCAGTGCGCAGGTCAGGAGAGGTCTGCTGCACCATGTGGGTCACCTTCCAGGTGGGGATCGAACCTATGCTGAAGTGGCTTTAGCTTCTTAGTGCTGTGGCCAGTATGCCACCAGAAAAGGCCCAAATTCTAACCGTTCTTAATACACACACACACAAACATACCCCTTCATAGAGAAAAAGCAGACCATTTGGCTACACCATCAAATACCACCATCTAGTGGGTGAAACTTTAAAAGCCAACATATCCAAGTTAGAGACTACACTTGCTAAAATACCAGGAAAATTAATATTCGAACAATAGATTGTTAAATAGTTCATTATCCTTGATTATTTTCTACCTTCTTATCCAACAGGAGATGCTAAGACCATTTTTATATTAAAATATATTAATAATAGATTACTCTCAGAATCAAAAGTAAAAGCATACCTAATAGTTAGTGTTAGAGCCTCAATCCTGACTCATTTAAGACAGAAATGATTAACAAGGTACCTGGTAATCACTCTTACCATTTTAACAAAAAAGATATAATGAAGAAAAGAAAAAAAAGTGCTTCTTGTTCACATAACTTCTTTCACTTTTTCAAAGTATTTAATAGCACATGGCAGATAAAAGCATAGAGATGACTTTTATCTCTGGATGATCTAAAAAGTATTCTGTCCTCTATGGTGATGGCACACAGGTGATCTGGTGATGGGAAGCCCACAGGGATTACAACTGAGATGGAAAAAGGCACAAAATGATGTAAAACTAAACTATTATATTAAAAAAAAAAAAGAGTAACATAAGAACACTATCGTGAGGAAGAAACTATTTTTAAAAACAAAAAGTGTTCTGTCCTTTCTGTCCTAAGCAAAGGCCTATTCAAATCTACTCCTACAGGTCATATATAGATCTTCTAAAAATCATGTCCTAGTGCAAATGAATCAACAGCTGTCATGTATCAAGTATAATTTCTCTACTATTTTCTACACCAAGAAAATTTTGCTTCAAAATTTTTACAGAAACATGATTTTCAGTTAACATGAAACACAGCAAACAGGCAGCTATCTCTTGCAAATGGCTGCATTAACAACAATCTGATGTTATTATTTCAATATAATGCAATCAAAGCACTAACATTACTTACAAAGTATTTCTAAAAATGCTTAATCAGAATCTAAATCTAATCTCAGCATCTAACTTTCAGTTATAAGAAATACATGATAGAAAACAAGTTAAATGACACCCCTAAGAAAAGAATCAAAGAGAAAGAGAAAACTCTGGAAAATAACATCATGGAGTAGAAAGGGGAAACCAAAGAGACATTAAAGAGACAACACAACAGAGGCATGCCCTCCACGTTCTCCAGGAAACAGATGATTTATCTGGTATCCTACATCTAGGAGAAAGTTTCCAGAAACTAAAAATCGATGAGTTGGATTACATTTTATTGAGCATTTATTCTTCTTTAGAACAAAAATTATGGTGAAACGGAGACAATGTAAGCATCCTGAAGAACCTTTTATAAAATTTCACATTTAAAATGTATCTCTTTCATTCATTACCTAGATAAGATTTTAAAAACATGATTTTATAGAATTCATAACTAGTTATCCTATCACTGACAGCGACTCAGAAAATGGGAACTGCTCTCTAAGAAAATTCTAAGCACATACCTTTTATTTTCAGCCAAAGTGGCTCCTTCATCCTTTAGCTGTTTACTTTTCTCAGCACAGCCTTCATGGAGAATTTCCTTCCTACGTTTACCAGCATGAAGCCAGATGCCTTCATCATTCTCGGCTTCATCCTTCTCATCAGCAGCTTCAGCTTCAAACTGCTGGGAAGTGACCTTTGAGACCTTCTCGCCAATTTTCCTCTTCCATCCAAAGGAAGCCATTCTGGAAATTACAAAGAAAGTATTTAATATCAAACATGGCTCTTACAGAAGTATTTCAACTAACAGATGAAGAAGGGCTAATAAACTCTGACCATCACTATTTTTTAATTCCTTAATTAAATACAGGAACTAGGCAATAATCATCACAGACTGCTTAATATCATAAAGAAAGACAACAGGACATTTTGTACCTCCAGATGGAGTGACACAAGACGCCTTCCAAAAATGAATCCTGAATCAGATCAAGCCTGTACCAGCTTATAAATATGGAGAACATATTAAATACAGAGATGCAGACAGCAAAAACCAAAAACTGAAGAAAAATAAAACTGCTTTCTTTAGGAAATGAAATGCCAGACCGGAAAAAGGGAAGACAGGAGGTAACTAACCCCTCAGAGTTAAGAATTATTAGCGAAGACTTCACTGATGGTGCAAGGTGGCACAAACCAGCACTATAATGCTACCTGCAGCCACTGTAGCAGGAGCGCTTCGATACCCTGTGAAGGAGCTGTCCCACATGGGGCAGCAGACCTCTGCTGTCTTGACCGCTGCTCCCTATAGCAGTGTACTTTGTCAATCTGCCTGTTCTGCTCCCCAGTTTGTCTCTGGTGAAATCTCTCAGGCCACAGCACCAATCCCCACCCCCGCCCCTGACCCCTGGCCCCCACACACACCTCTGGCCTACATCCCAGTTCTTGTCCACAAAATAAATCTTTTTAAATAAGAAAAACTTACTAGCTAAATAGAACGTGGAATCTTTTTGCTCTAAATTCAAACAAGTCAATGGGAAGGAAATATATGCAACAATTGGGCAAATCAGAACCATCTGCTATTTGATGACATTAAGAAATGATCAGTATTCTTTTTAGGTATGATAATAATACTGTGATTATTAAAAATATTTATCCTTTACGAATACATTCTAAGATATTTCACATGAAATGTGATCTCCAGGATTTGTTTCTAAGTACCATGTGGGTGAAGCAGAGATTAATATGATGCTATGAGCTGACAGTTATGAAGTTAGATGATTCTTTATACCTTTCACTTTTCATATACATTTGAAATTTTCCATAATAAAACATCTTAAAATGTTTTTAAACTTGGTAAATTAATTTACAGAGCTACCAGGTGAATCAAAAAGATAACAACTGTTAAAATGCTGCATAAATTGCCACAATAAACACATGTAAGGGATAAGAAAGAGATGATAACCGAACAGAATTAAAGGAAAACACTGGAAGAATTCAACAGATCAATTATCTAGAGAAGAAATGTATTGAAGAATCTGAGAACTCTTACTAGCAACATGAATGGATTTTAAATTACTGGAACTCTACATAGCTTTGATAGGCCTGTGCGCATTCTGGTGAAAGAGTATAAGCTTTCATTCCATTCTTTAAAAAGTATATAATCCAAGGAGATGATGATGAACAGATCGATCAACCAGAGGGCTGAGGAAAAGCAATGAACCTGAGGTCTTCCTAACACTACCAAACAATGAACATGGTGGAAGTAAAGAAGGTGGAGTAAAGAAAGTAAGTTCCAGCAGATATTATGGCCTTCATCAGCGATGCACATGGCTGAACTTGGAAGGATAAAAAAAATTGTGGGTTATGTACCTAGGTTTTTAAAGAACTTAAGGAAGTGCTAGTGAACTACAACAATCAAGGAATGTGCAGGGGGACCCACATGCTTTCCACGGGAGCAGGGCCAGTCTGGAGGAGTGATGGTACTAGGGTGTAAGGTCAATGATATGCTGTAAGAGAAGTTGCATGAGGCTTCCAGGAGGCTTAAGAAAGTTGGGCTTAAAAAAAGACTGAGTTCTGGAAGATATGCAAACACTTTCTGCCTTGGAAAAGTTAACACTCGACTCAGACATGTTAAAAAGGAGCGTTTCTTGATCGGCTAAGGCTATCTGTGCAAAAGCGAAAACTTCTTATAAAGAAGGCTTTCCTGAAGTTACAATCATATAGACAGGGCGACAAGATCCTGGCCTTCCCGGCCTCCCACTAGGATAAGACACAGGGGCAAACCATAATCATCCGATTTCATATTAAACTCATAAAACAACACAAATGCATTTCATGCAGGATTCTAACTAGTAAAAGCCAAGTGTTAGAACACAACGATGCTGTGTTCTAAATTCTTTTGCCGACACCTGATGCGTGAAGTGGGTGTTCAATTACTGTGAGCCGCTGACAGTGAGCAGGCACTCACCGGAGGGTGCTCGATTTCACTGCGTCGGGGGACGCAGCACGCAAGGCTGGATGATCACTACCGGGAATCTGCTAGCACAGCAACCTTCTGGGTACAGCTGTACTCGGAGGTGAGGAAGTCAAGAAACTGATTCCCCAAAAATGTCACCGCAAGCGAGAAATACGTATTAGCAACTTAATTTTCCACAACATGAAAACGTGCCAACTTCATCACCGCAGCCTCGAACGTGTCAGTCCCGCGGGTCGACCGAGACCGCCCCCAGGTGCTGACATCTTTAGGGAGGTGGAAAGCGAGCTCGGCTCCGCTCCCCCGCCACGGAGGGAAGGTCATTGCCGCCCCGGCAGCCAGGGAAGCGCCGAAGCCGCTCCGGCGGAGCGCGGGGGGCCTGACCCCCACACTCGCTGGTCCCCAGGGACCAACCTTAGTGTCGCGGCTCTGCCACGCCTCCGCTGGTCTCAACTCCGACTGCCCAAGTTCCTTTCTCCCCAAATCACAGACGCACTAGCCTTGTTCCTACCCGTCTTTCACTGGTTTTTACTAGTAATTGAGTAGCTTCCTTTACCTGATAATCACTCCGCCGGTCCCGTGTTTACATTCCGCTTGCCCTTTGCCCACCGGAAGCGGAAATGATGATGCCCATACTCCAACCTTCCTCCTCTCAGTGCCGGGTCTTCCAGGAAAAGCGGTTTTCCACCCCGGAGATTTAAACACTCCAAAGAAGGGGACCGGAAAGAATTAAGTCTCAAACGTTTTCTCCTCCGCCACTCTCCTCCCTGGGACTACAAGTCCCAGAAGTCACTGCGGGTGTCTCACCCCGATTACCCTCTGGGACTTGTAGTCCAAGCTATGAGCGCCCTCCGCCCCTGCGGTGAGCGTGGAGCCGCCGCAGTGCGGAAGCGCAGGCTTCTGCGGCTGCGCGGGCTGAGGGGCGCACAGAGGGCCAGCATCCCGGAGCTTCTGCTTGCCGCAAGCAGTCCGCGGGTGAAGGAGAGACTGGGTGCAAATGGTCAGGGGAGGTGGGGCACGAAGTAATAAGATGTGGTCTTCCCTAAATGAGTTTACAGCCGTGTTGATGAAGCTGGTAAACGCGGAAGATGCAAACTGGATTAAAAACGAAGGTGGAGGGGGGGGGATGTGCTTTTGCGGGGGCGGAGGGGTGGCGGTTAGTAGCATCCCTCATCTCCACTAGATGCCATTAGTATCCACGCAGCCCGACCACCAGCCCTGACAACCAAAAATGTTTCCAGGGAATGCCGAAAGTCCCTGGACGATAAATCGTTTCCCTCGCCTGACTCACTGAGAACCAGTGATGTGGACCAAAGCAGATCTTTAAACCGCTGAGAGAAAATCAAATTAATATAAAGACATCGTTTTCTGGTTTCACAATGTGGACTGGATACTGATGTGGACAAGCAAAGGCTGGCGAAAATGGCTGACATCTCTAGAGGAGCCGAGGCGATGAAAGGGAACTGCAGAAGTTGTGGTATTCTTCACTGTCTCACACTCATAGACGAAAAGGAAAAATAGTCTCCCGAGAATGCCCTTGATGAAGGTCAAGGTTGTTAACATCATCCTGAAGTACATATTTAATATCTTATATGACCAAATAGGAGATCCTCAAAATACCTGTTGTGTTTTGAAGTCTGTTGTATCAGGTGAGGCACTTAGAAGACTGCAATATAAACTAAAATATTCACACTTTCCCCCTGCAACACAACTTTTACTTAGAATGATCAACAGAGTCAGACTTAGGCATTTGACAGACCTTTTCTTGAATGAACAAAGGAAGCCCGATACTTCAAGAAAAACAACTGCCAGTGTTGCCAGTGATAAAATTCACATATTTGTCGTATTGCTGTTGAAATCTTCCTAAGCCTTCCCTTTTTAAACATTAAATTTTATGTTATTGTCAAGATCTGTGACAGATGTTTGGTCAAGTGGCTTTCATTAAAGACTGCCATCTGCACACATGCAGGAAGTCTACAAAACATTTTCAAAGCATTCCTTCTTAAGGCTTTACAATGCACTGTTATCAT